GGGGAGTCGACAGCGAGCGTGCGAAAGTACAAGAGCGCGCAGCGAACAAGGCTCGACGAACGAAGGCAGCTTAAGTCAGCGACTGACTCCTGCAGATACTCGAGTATGTGGAACTACGACATCTACTGGATTTGCAGTAACTCAATGTGGCATTTTAACCTTCCACTTCTCAGTGTATCTTTTCTCAAAAAATACTGGTTGGAACTGCTAACATTTTAGGATGCAAGTCGTACTCATTCATAATAATGTGTGAAGATCCGAGGTCCAGATTTATTATCTTGTTATCGCGTTCATCTTCTCCCAAGGAGGTACAAGAAGAAGAAGAAGGATGCGCGGGTTCGTGGACCTGGTCTCTGGGGTGTGGACATGGGCAACATCAGCATCATAATCTTGCCGAGCCAATTATAACATGACTAGATGGAAACTCGAAAGGTGGTTCTAAACTGGCACACTTTTCCAAACTTAACTACATCCAGCAAAACCAAACGCTCTAAACAATGTTCAAGTTCGCTTAGAGCGAGCGATACAGAGCCGACAGCTGACACCTGTGGAGGAAAGAGGAATTTACGATCGGTGATCACGTGACCGGCATGATCGACGCGTTCAGGAGGTCAGAAGCGCTACGCGCGAGCAACGACGAGTAATCAGTCCACTGTCTGACGCAAGGAGGCCGACAGGCAGGTATACGCAACGGCACCCACAACAGGGTAGAACGGAGACGCAAACCCGGCATTGGTGGATAGTAGAAAGGCCATAACCAACCAAGGGTCAAAAAGAAAGCAAACATAAGAATGCTGAACACGGTTAAAACGCCAGGCAGGCAGCGGCGCAGAGTAATTCAAAGCCAAGGATCCTTCGCAATAAAATCAATCGAAAACCCTATAAGGCTTATCTGTCGTCTGCGGTCATACAGACTTTGATTCCACGCTGGAAGGACCCGACGCTGATTGATCAATCATATTTTTCGAAGCATTTGTAGAGCTTAGTTTGAGCTTTAGTAGGTGTAAAGGGTGATATTTCGGAAGGCAATATGAATATCAAGACTGTGCATTAGCCGAAATTATTACCTGAATCTTACGTATTCGCCAACCAAACCAAAGATTTAGTGAAAAAACACTGGTTCTTAAATACTGTCGATAAATTCGCTCTTATCATGGAGAATATACGGACTCCATTGCAACTCCAGTCAGATACTCATGGGCTAGCTTGCTCTGGTTGTGCTTGTAAAATGACCGATCATTTAACACTCCAACTACAAGTCAACACATCACAACTGATCGCCTTTCCTCGCAGGTCACTGCAGCTACATTGCCCAAAATATCTGGGTTAGTTGGCAGGCCACCCCTGTGCTTGCGATTAGAATTTCTCCGGCCCACTAACAGGTACACCGTTACTCACAAGAACTGAACTTGCGTTAGACGAACTAGGGAGCGCTGTGTTTATCGGATCTTAAACAATTTGCTGGAAATGATCAGTAGACAGCAAGCAGTGTAGTTCAAT